TTATTATTTCTTAAATTTTATTATATAAAATTTGATTAAAATTAATATAAAAATTATATAGTAAATAATTTAATTACAAAACTTTGAATCTTTATATCTTTGTAATTACTGATTCAATTTTTATAAAATTTAGAATATATTTAATCTTGCAAATTGATAGTGATAATATTTAAAATATCTTTTTTTTTAAAAAAATGATTTTATTTTAGTTTTTTTTAATAAGTAATACTTTATTTATTATTAAATTAAAGTATAATAGAATAATTAAAATAGTATAAAAAGTTATTCTTTATTTAATATAAAAAAATTATAAAGATTAATTAAAATTTAAATAATTTTTATTAGAAGTAATTATCAATTTTTATATTGATATACCAATCTTTTTGCACTGATTCATATATAATAATAATTATAATTAATCTAATAAAAAAATAAATTCATAATATTAAGATATCTTATATAAATTTAAGAATTTTCTTTTTTTTAATGAATTTTACTTATAAATAGCATAGTTTTTAGATATTAAAAACTAAATATGAATTTATTAGTCAATTATCTTACAAATTATATATTTATTTAATAAATAATATTATATTATTTATTTCTTTATAATATAATTAATTATAATATATTAAAATATTAACAAATAAATTTTTTTATTTAAATATATATATTAAATAAAATTCAATTTACTTTACTATTTTATATATTTATTTTATATTTTTATTATATTATAAATTCTTTCTGATATTAAGTAAATCAAATTAATACAGATTTTAATATTAAGTTTCTATTAAATTTATTATATTTTATTTCACAAATCTTTCTTGGGATTTATTTAAAAGATACAGAAAATAATAATTAATCTTATTTTATAAATACTTAATGAAATTTAGATTAAAAGATTGTAATAATCAATTCAAAACTTGAATATAATTATTTCTAAATTATTAGTTTATTTAAAATTACTATATATTTAGAATTTTTATCTTGTTAAAAAATAATATTTCTAATAATAAATCTATAATTTTTAATAATATTACAAGATTTTTATAAAGTATTTATTAATATAATTCAGTTATTATAATATTATCAATTCTTAGAAGTTATTAATAATATGAAATATAAAAAAATTTCAAATTATCACTAAATTATTTTTAAACTTTACTATAGACTTAATATAAAATTGATTTAATCATATTTTAGAATATTTTTAATAATAATATTTTTTATCTGAACCAAAAATTTTAAACTTAAACTTATCAATCATATAATTTTTTATCAATCTTTAATGGACTAATTTTCATAATTCTATATAAATTCTAATCACTTTTTGATACTTTTATTTAAATAGAGTTTTTCTTTTTATTTCTGATATTGAATTATTATCTTATAATATATAGATAATAAATAATAAATAAAGATTTTCTTTTGCTTGGATATATTTTTGAACTTTTATTACTAATAAACACCTTTAAAAAAAGTAATAAAATTGACAATTTTTCTTTTTATTAGTTCATTTATAACAGATAATTGATCAGATTTTATCATATCTCTAAGAGAATATTATTCATATTATCTTTTAATAATACAAGAGAAGGGATTGACTTTGCTATTTGTCTTGTTATATATTCATTTTGAAAAGCAAGAAAAATTTATACATGCTCTTTTGGAGTTGTTTGATATCTTTGTGTTTTGTTTTTTGTCCAAAAAGCTGCAACATTATATGACATATAAACAAAACACAATAAATTTACCTTTTATATGATATTTATATTGCATAACTATAATCATCTGATCTTTTGCATGAGATGATCATAAATAATGCAACACAAGTTTGATTCTAATTTTGCATTTGTCTAAAAATAGCAAATAATAGCAACTATTAAGATTTTAATATATTAAAATGATGCTATTAAAAAGCAAAATTATTAAAAATACAAAAAGGATACATTATAATTTTCATGAAATATTTTAGTTCAACGAAAATTTTTCCTTGTTGTATTAATTATGATCGCCACTGTATATTTAAATCATTTGCTATCTCCTAAAGATGTTGATCTAAGCTTAAATCTAATTGTCTTAAGGGTCTCCTGCGCTAGTTATTACGAAACTACAACAATTCGGATTAAAACAATTCTTCATAATATAGCATAAAGCAAATTCGACGGCCGGATTTACTCAATCTCTGCAAAACGAAATATAGTCTAACTATATTTAGAGTGGAGTCTTCCACTATCAATTTATGTTAGGCACAAAAAAAATAAAAGCTACTTGTACGCAAGCTTTGAAGATAATCAATAATAGTATATTCATGAGTAACAGGATTATTACAAGTAAATAGTTTTTTTTTCTTTTCATTGATTAGAGCATGACTTCTTTTAACCTTTTTATACAAAATATATCGACAATATATCTATATTATTTAATTTTATGTCAGAACGATCATAAACAATAAGCAAGAGACAATGCAACGGGAATAATACTAAATATTGCTAAAGTTGTATGTTTCTCGAGAAATTGATTGAACATCGAAAGATATAATAAAAAGATGCAAGAAATAGAACCACGAAATGATGTTAGATGTTAGTCTAAGCAAAAGTAGCGAAAGTGTCCGTGTCAGGAATTATGAACTCACGAATTTTAAAATCACTACGGCAACATGTAGAATATTCAATTATGCAGATCGTAAAATGTTAAATATTTAATTATTTCAATTGTGGTAATCTCGAAACGTCAGATGTCAATAATTACATGTACTTGTATTATAATCGTCGTTAAACAAGTGTGCTGTTAATTGTCCCAAAAATAGCAGTAATATTCTTTGTTAGAGATTACGGAATTTAACGTTACTACGGTAACAGTAATACCAAATAATACATTAATGAATATATGATACACTCCTAAATTCACCCTGTACCTCCATTCTTGACAGATTAGTATCTTTCCGACGTGTGAATACTAAACTTATTCTTCAAAGTTTGATATATTATCGTACGTGGGCTCTTGGTTACGAAACAACCAAGCATGAATCGCGCCCTGTTGCTGATCAGTTCCAAAAAGGTAGTCATAAAATCCTTTGAGAGCACTCCAAAAGCCACCAAGCAATCCCAAAGCGCCCAGAAGCTAAATACAGTAAAATTTATGATATACTTGGGACTATAGCATTTTCAAAGCACTTTTTATATATATGCTCACATTATAAGACCTATAATTATTAGAAGACATTATGAGAGGCTCTCTGATATTGATTTTAATACAATTAAATTACAAAATTCGCTTGCCTCTGTTCTGTTTCAACGTGGATGAAGAAATTGTTACACGAAACCTGAATATTACCAAAGTAATCAGGATTTATCACTGTACTCATATTTTTTGCTCTACTAGCTGACATTTCGAGGTGTGTTTAACGTGTTACAAGATTTGAATAAATTCAAACAACAACAAAAATACGAAATGTGAATAGAAAAGCAACTTACACCACATTGTATCTAACCTCGGCCGGTCAACATATTGCAATTCGAATCCAAGCGCTGCCAGAATGGGATATTTCAATGCCTTCCTGATTGTTCGAGCGTAATAATATAATCCAATCTAGAATCCAAAGTTTTTTGCACAATGGTGTTAAAAATTCTTTAACACTAGTAAATGAATCATGAATAATTTTCACCTGATGCTTCTGATAGAGTAAAAAAAGATGTGTTAAACGATCAAGAACATATTTAACTGGCAAGCTTAAGAGACAGTTACCCCTAATGTGTATACGTGAAGTCCTTCTTCTCCTAACCGTTTACGGGCCAGGGTAATATTTGTGGTAGTATCCTTTCCATCTCTAAAAGGATTACTATCTAAGTAACAATAATTCATTTGTGAGTTAACGGTCTCTATTGTGCCTAAACTCCAGATACTTGCTTCTATCGTAAATATTGGTATAAATCGCAGCTGAGTTGACAGTCGCTGCGTCAGACGCATAAAATGTAAATACAATCGCCCCATTTTGAGTCCGCAGATTAGGATGGTATAAATAAAAGTCAGGTTCCGAGACAAATAAAGCGATATAAGCGTTGTTAACGAATGTAGGCTGGATGAGATATTGATCGCAGTTTGTCGAACGATTAAAATCTGCAAACAGTAATATTTAGCGAAACATATCACTATGGTTAATCGAACACAACATTCGATAGTACCAACCATTACTGGTAATACGACACATTATTGTAAAGTTATTACCCATGGTAAATATTACATCTACAATATAACAAGGAAAGACACTGAATCATATTTTCAAAATTATCACAAGATGAGTTTGTCTTTACCAGGCATCTGACTTTGCTCCTCTTTATATGAACTCATCAACAGCATAGGGTGATCATACACCACCCAATATAATAAGATGCAGCCGTATCCAACCAACAATAAATATATCGTCACAAGGGTGAACTTTCTGAGTGTAACAATAGGTCTGGGTTCTGAACTGTTTTCATTATAAATATTAAAGAGATTGTGCGGCAGCAAATTATGGAAAAAAGACATTGTTTATATGATTATGCGAGAAATAATACACAATATGAGCATACATTAATATTTTTGTCCTCTTATCGAATTTATACCGATATGTGATATTATGCACTGCTTAAGTAATGTTACAAGTGTGACATCGATTTTCTTTTCTGTAGTTCTTTGTTTTAAATTCCCCAATTAAATTGTTTATTCAATAAATAATTTTTATCGTCTTATAATTCATGTAAGAGAGTATCCTATGATACGAGATCAAAAAAATATATAAGAAATAATTGCCTGAAAATATGTAAGTGTATTGAAAACTCTAAATTAATTATTATATAAGTTTATTAAATTTATTATAAGTAATTGTAGATTTAATTAATGATCGATCTAATTAATTTGCTTAAATATTGTATAATATAAGAATAAACTATTTAATATTCGCAGATCAAAAATTTTACTCAGAATCTAATGTTTTGTTAGAAGCATCATTGATTAGTTACTTTTTTGATTTAATATTATATATAATAAGCATATTTAAATTATGTGTTAATTTAAATCACAGTTGTGATAAATGTTTAAGATCATTTTTGAAATCAGAATAAAAATTAAAATTAAGATTATTCGTTAAAATTCATCAAGTTCAGTAATTAACAAAATTTCAAATCTGAAATTATAATAAATTATTATTATATAATCTATTAAAATTACTACAAATCTTTTGAACTTTGATAATAATAATAAATTATCAAAAATTGAAATTTAATAATTATTAATATATAATCCTATAAAATTTCTAAATTTAGTATTTTAATTTTAAAATAATTTGATAAAAAATTATAGTCAGAATTAGAATTAAAATAAAATTATTATTTAAAATAGATTTAAAAATTCATGTTTTATATTTAAAATTATTTTGCAAAATTAATTAAATTATATTATAAATATTATCAATATATTTATTATAATTATAAATCAATTAAATATATATTTAAATATACTTATTATTTAAGATTTTTAGTTCTAAATTTAATATTATTAATTATTATTAAGAAATTTATAAAATTAAATTTTATTTGAGTTTGCAAGTATTTTTTAATAAAATTATAAAATTATTATATATTAAAATAATATTTATAAATATTATTTAAATATTAAAAACTATAAATTTAATTTCAAATTTTATAAATTTTCTTAGAATTTTTATTAATAAATCAATAATATAAATTATAATAAAAAATTAAATTTTTAAATTAATATAATATATATTTTCAATTATTTATATTTTATAAATTAAATAAATTACTTGATTAAAAAATAAATTCAAAAATTATTCTATTAAAATAATTAAGAAAAGTTTATTTTATTATTTTAACAGAGATAAATTTCTTAATCAAGAAATTTATTCAATTTATAAAATATAAATAATTAATAATTTTAGATAATATGTACTATATAATAGGGATTTTTTATTTTTGAATATAATTTAAATTTAAAAATTACTTATTTCTTAAATTATTTATATAATTGCAAAAGATTTTTATAAGTATATATTTCTTCTTTTTTATATAAATTTTTAAATATATTATATTATTAATTATCTTATAATTCTCTTCTTATAATTCTTTTAATAAAAATCTAAATTCTTATCTTTTAAATATAGCTTTTAGAGAGAGTATATTTGATTAGCAAATAAAAAAAATTGGATATAGATTATAAAATATTATATTACTTTAAAATAAAAAAAGATTAATAATAATAACTTTTTTTATTAAAAATTATATATATATTTTTATAAATTTTCTTTAAAAATTTATTAAATAAGTAATTTAAAATTTTATAAGAAAAAATAAAAAAAATTTTAATTAATTATATTTATAATAAATAGCTCTTAAAATTTTTTTTCAAAAATTTATTTTTTAGTTTATTAATAAAACTAATTGAAAAAATCTTAAATTAATCTTTAAAACAAAAAATATTAATTTAACTAATCTAGCTATTATGATAATTTAAAATTTTATTATAAATAAGTATTTATATTTATAGTAATTTTATTTGTTACAATATGAAATATATAAAACTAAATTATTAAGAATTTTATAAGATTAATCATTTAGAATATTTTATGATCAAAATATAGTAAATTTTATAACTCAAATTTATATACTTTTTTAAGTTATATAGCAAATATTAGCAGAGTTACTATGTAATTTACACTTCTAAAATTATTCTAGTTAATTTATGTTATCTCTTTTATAAAAAAATTTTTTGTAGAAGATAATTTTTCTTAATTATTTAAGCAGATAAATTTGTTCACTTAAATATATAATTTAAGAAATATTAACATTAATTTATAAAAAATATTAATTTTTTAAATATAAATAATTTAAATATTTATATATATAATGATAATTAAAGATAATACAAAATTTATTAATAATTTCTTTATTAAACTTTATAATTTATTTTAAATCAAATTAAAATTTATAATTTATAATTTAATATATATTCTTTCTAATTACAAAGATATTGCATAATTTTTTTTCTAATTAAAAATAAAATTTAATTGATAAAAATTTTTGCAATGAATTTATAATTAGAATAACTCTTTCAAAAAAAATCTAAAAAATTTGAAAGAAATATATATTAAATTATAGATTATAAATTATAATTTGATACAAAAATAAATATAATCTATTAATAAAATAATAAAGCTTTAATATAGAAAAAATTCCAATTTTTATTATATTTTATTAATAAATTTGATTTCTCTGATACATTATCTTTAGCCAACACTATATATATTTTAAAAGAAATTAAATAATATTATCTAACTATTTATTTACTTAATTATTAATTGAATTTAAATTTTATTAATTGTTTTTTGAAAATAAATAAATTTAAAAATTTTGATTTGTATATTGTATTATTTTGATTGCTGTCGTATAAAATTATATATTAAAACGGCTATATAACTGAAAAAGATAAATCATTCATCTTTATTTGATATAGATTTCCTTTTTATTAATTTCTTTAATTCATTATTATTTCTTTTTTGACAATTCAAAATACGTTAGAGGAAAATAAAAGAAAGTGAATGACATACAAGAGATACTACAAATTCATGATGATGCAATGATATTACTATCAAACTTATAAAGCTGAATTATCTAACGAAAATAAGTATATCGACAGTCTAATAAATGAATGCGTGAAAATCAGAAGACATTACCAATGGATCCCTTTTGAAAAATTTACCATTGTTGAATTTCTTGCAAAAGGTATTTATAAAGCATCATTATATTGTTACAAGTGGAACCATGAAGAAAGTAAATTTTAAATAATCAAATGACAACGAAAAACGCAGAATTGGGAGGAAATTACACGATTCAAAGCAAATTATAAAGGACGAAAATAGATTCGGACTGTACTAAAGTACAGTGATGATTACTTTGGAAATAAGGTATTATAGATGACAAAAGCTAAAAGCTCAACTACATATGAAAATTCGGCAGTAATGTGTCAATTTTTACATTCGTAGATAGGTGCCGGTCAAAATTACCGATCCAGCAGGTATAAAAAACCAAGAAATTTATTGAATAATTCTAATTCCTTATATGAGTCCAGAGGTATTAAGTGGAAAGCCATACACTAAATCTGCAGATATTTATAGCGTTGGAATGATTATGTATGAGATTACAACAGGTGAACGACCATTCGATAAGCGGAGTCATGATAAAGATCTCGTATGCGACATCTATAAAGGAGTGCGACCTACGATATCAAATAATATTCCTGCATGGTGCGAATTTATTATTAAAAAATGTTGGGATCCTATTCCAGAAAATAGACCAACTATTGAGGAACTTGAAGTCTTTCTCTGTTAAGGATGGATACATATATTTACTAAATACTTTGCATTTTCAGTACTGCTGTTCACTAAAACATCCTAAAATCAAAAAGGATCTTAAACTAGAAAGGAAGAAATTATTGAAACAGAAAGTAATGCCGTAAAAAAGCATTCATACAAAAATTATTGGGTTTCTGAAGATGAAATCACAAAAAAAGGTTCAACAAATACTAAGAAAGGCTGAACCCAATAATGCCCTACATGCAAATATTTACATATGAATATACCAACGAGGATTGAAGCCTGAATTAAACAAATGAGTAAGAATAAATGCAGATGGAACTTTGACAAATACCATTGAAGTGGCAAGAAAAGTTGAAGATGCTGAGAAAGAAAGTACAATAGTAGGATATTATCAATCTTACAAGACTCAATCAAATGAGATGAATACTGTCCTGACAGCAATACAGGCAATTACCCGGTGACTAGATACGAAGATAAAGACGCGAACTACGCCAGAATTTTAATGCGAAGTAAAAAATGAACATTTTCTAAAGTGAAAGTTGCTTTTTTGTTTTCTGACACATCAAATTTTTTAAAAATAGTTTCAAACTGAGCTTAAATGCATTAATGCTAATTATAA